TATTTGGATAGAATACTCTAATTTGCAGGCATATAATGCTCAGAATAACTGGGAAACATATGAGCATAACAGTGAACGGTAAAATCTTTGAGATTACTTTCTGCAGATGGATGACCTTGGTAGTGGTGAATTGGTCAATGTACACAAATATGATGGCGTTTTGGTACTCCTACTATGTAAGAGAGCAGAACTTCTGATTTTCATGGGATATTTTTGTTGAAATTTTTTTGACATGAAGGTGAGATGTGTTGCTGCATTTCTCTGAAATTCTTTGAAAATCGATGGGCTGCGATTTGCGAAATTCTAATTTGAACTTTGTCAATTTAACATGCATCCCAATGGTACAAAAAATAAGGATAGTTCTACCGCTACCTGTTACATTGGCAAAAAAGCTACGTTGGGATCTAACCTTCGTTGAATTTTCTACTCAGTTGCTTCGTTATCAACTAAGCTTCGAAGGCGGAGGTGTTACACTTCATGGGGAGATCATAATGGAGAGCGCACTACTTCCTTTGCAAACCATTAGTCTCCTACCACATGTAGTTCAACTATTGTTTCTAGGACACCGCGTCCTACTCTATATATAAAGGAATATGCAAATCGTTACAAAACACAATCCAGACATACGTATATGACACGTACACGTATTCACGGTGTATAACCCAAACGCTCCTACATGCACGACGGAGCGTTTCATTTATGCGGAAACGCTCCAGAGCGAAATAAAATGGCGGCTAATGAAGATTTCACTATGACCGTCAGTATTGTTTCTCTCGTTTCTCTTACATATCATATGTTATGGTGAAATATTATGTACCATTCGATGAACAATACCGTGAGCAAAGATCTTATTTATTCAACTTCTGGTGGTAAACTGTTATTTGCTTGATCAAAGCTCCGTAGTGTAGATCGAACGAATCTGAAGATGACGATTTGACCACAAATTACGAATTAAACTAGTATTTCTATGAAAACGTTAATCTTTCTGTTAAAGAAGTAGATCACAAACTCGTATATTCTCATTTCCTAAAATCCCAGTCCAAATGCATTACTTGTTCTCAAGAAATCGCTTGTTTTCCTCGAAACGCTCCGTCGATTTAGAGCACAATTATAGAAACGCTCTTACAGATTTTGTTTTGATATCATTTTCAGATTATTAGAGAAGAGTTCCGAATCGAATCTTTCTCTCAAAAACGTGTTGTACTTGTTAGGCAAATTGAAACATATGAACCTGGTGGTGCTAAACGTGCAACTAGCTGATTTAAGCCTACATTAGATGATGTCATGCCTACATGTGTGCTAAATCATAAAACTACAGAAAAAAAAGAAAATTTATATGTGAATTAATCTTTCTTCTTTTGATGCCAAGGGGTATAATAGATCTTTTCTTTCTCTTCCTGAAAAGGAAAGGCAAGCTATATATTTCCTAAACAGATCTAGACTACCGGAGCGTTTCCAGTTTACTGTGTTAACCAGATCGGAGCGTTTCTTGAATATGAGAATGTCATCATTTTTAAGACTGGATTTTCGGTCATCAAATCACTAATACGATAATGTATGGTGCGTTGAAGCATTGGAATTTGACTAAAATAAACGTTGGTGCTCTAATCTTGGCTCAACTGATCACATATATCGACAAAAGGGGTTTTGACCGGTAGAATGACAAATACGTTTTTGGATTTTGATAACTATACTGCTTCGTACAGCTCTTCCTAATTGCTTCAAACGTCAACAGCCAGCCAAGTACAACATGAATATCACACCCATCGAATGGTATACTCGAAATATGTAACTCATACCTCTTATTCCCATTATTGGGGAAATCGTCAGACGGCTCATTATTCCCGCCAGCCAGTTTTCCTACTTCGGAGCGTTTCTTTGTTTAATTTCAGTAATGAAACGCTCCGTCGTGCATGTAGGAGCGTTTGGGTTATACACCGTGGTATTACAGAAATGCGAATATGTAAATGTTTAAAATAAATAATATTTACTGACACTACAGTATGGTGTCATGCCTGCGTTAGAGAAATGCGAATATGTAAATGTTGAAAATATTATATCCTTTGTTACGGATACATGTACGTGTCATAGAATTTGTCAAGGGTTCCCTTGCCAGAGAGGCGTAACGATAGCCATGAGAAGCAAAACTTATCATGAGCAACCTACCCGGGGCAACCTAAGACATTCATGTTTATCATAAAATAGCAACAATGATGCAAGTACCCGTACCTATTCCATCTTGGCTCTGTTCAATACTGACTGAACTTGGTCTTGAGTATTTACACGCACCATGATAAACCATGACATCTCATTTCTTCTCAGCCCTGATATGCGTGAAACAGAAAGATGCTATAGGAGTATCAGAATGGTTTACACGTGTCAGATATGCAGCATACAATGCCCTTGAGTCATTCTTATAATATCTTGTTTTGAATTGGGGGAACGAAAAAGGCAAGCAAAATCATTTATGGACATGAGCAAAATATTCATTACGGTAAATTGATGGAATGCATGGTGAAAACGTTGTCAAATCTTTAACTCTTTAAAGGCAGAAATATTAATTTAAGTATCAAGTATAAGGAATGTTAATTGTCTGTTCCAAGACAATAAAATCTCAGGTATAGTGAAACACGGTGATTAAGGCACATCTTACGTAACTCAACATTTTCAACCATTTTCAATGACTCACAATTCAAAGGAGCGATTAAATAATTTCTATTCATTTGACAGTATATAATTATAATATACTAAAAATACTTGAAGTGTATTCATTTTGTGATTTTCACCATAAACTTTAAAAGATTCATGTTGGTTGTCGCAAGCTTTTTTTCGGACAGCTGTAGCTTTAGTTGGATCCTATGACCATAAAAACAAATTGGGTCTGTTTGGCCTATCATTGTGTCATCTTCAATAACAGACCATAGAATCATAATAAAGTCATTGGATTTTCTCTTAAGCTGTCACTAATCTAGCCATCAAAGGACATTATATTCCCAAACATCATTATTTTAGTGCAAAGGTATATTGTAAATTTAGAAATTAAATGATTAAATTGTAATATGGTACACCCTATGCAGACAGAGCCTGTGGGAAATATTGGGTGCGGCGCAAATGAGCGGAGGGTGCGGAGCTAACGGTCATTTTTGAATTTAAAATTGGGGATATTTCTGAAACTAAGCCGTTTTGGGACTTCAAATATTCCAAGATATGTGTATTTGACACCAAATATCAATAAAATTGTGAAAATAGTAGTGCAATTCATTTTATAGCGACGCAGTATGCCTTAAACATTTCCCAAACCTATATATAAAAATTCGGAAATGTTCTTCAGATATGAGCCCCCTCTTAATATTGGGTGCGGAGGTACGTTTATGGAGCTCCTCCGCACCCAATATTTAGAGGGGGCTCATATCTGAAAACATTTCCGAATTTTTATAAAATCACACAGATACTGCTTGGCTTCCAAGATGCAAAAATAATTTGTATAGATAGTGTACCTTGAACACCATTTTTATGAATGCTGGGGACTCAGTATTAAAAGGATAATTTCAAAATATATAGGTCTGGGAAAGGTTTAAGGCACACTGCGTCGCTATAAAATGAATTGCGTTACTATTTTCACAATTGTATTGATATTTGGTGTCAAATACACATATCTTGGTATATTTGAAGTCCCAAAACGGCTTAATTTCAGAAATATCCCAAATTTAAATTCAAAAATGACCGTTAGCTCCGCACCCTCCGCTCATTTGCTCCGCACCCAATATTTCCCGCAGGCTCTGTCTGCATAGAGTGTGGTAAAGGCAGTTACACGTATAGTGTTTTTTCCTTTTTCTTTGATACTAATCTTAGTATGTGACCAAGATGCATGTCTTGAGCGTAGCGAGGCAACACAGCAACTACCTGAATTACCTCACCCTTAGAAATATATTTTCTCAGATGTTTTTTAACGAAAAGTGAATGTAAGAAATTCTCCATCTAAAATGTCACTCGACTTTTTTGTGATTATGAGTCAAAGAAAGCATTCTTGAGTTTCAAATTGACTTCTGTGGTAACTTGAAACCATCTTCTAATTTATTCCACTTACCTTTTATTGTTTCTCCAAATATATTCTTTGAAAATCGGATTTTAAGGGTGTTAATCAGGGTAATTCTGTGCCATTTTATCAAAAATCTTGTTGCTATCTAGAAACGAGCAATTGTGATCTTGTTGTTACCTAGGAACGAGCAACTGTGATGTCACGTCACACTCATGTTAATTCTGGAATCACATGGCAGCCATTTTGGAAATTTCAAAAAAGTTCCCAATTAAAAAGGCTAAATGCTGTTTACAAATTGGAAACTATGGCAGAATCAACAAAGGGTTTGTGAAATAATTAGGATATGGTTTCAAAATTATGCACATGACAATATATGACTACTAAATGCAGGCAGGGACTTTTAATTGCCAAAAAGTCGAGTGACATTTTAGATGGAGAAATTCTTAGTCCTAAATTCTTTCGCAATTTTAATATTTTAGTGTACGTAATTAAGTTAACAACGACAAATAGAATTTTAAAGCATGCACTTCAAGTGATTATAAGTCCATGGTGTGACATGCTACTAGGGGCAATTGGACCAACATGCCTTACTATTTATACATATATTTTTTTCTCTTTTGAAAAATTCGATTTGTGATGTATATTTCTTAGTTTTTCAAAGTCTGCAAATATTTCGTCGCGGCATTATCTTTACATTTCAATCACCGCCATTACTTTTCAAACGAGTTACCCTGCATTATCAGAACGTCATGCTATTTTCATATTTGTAGAATATAATGACATGTGTCATTTACCATTTATAATACAGTAAAAAATAATTTGCTACATAGGTGACAAATGTTTCTAGTGGTCTCGCATCATGCGAACGTAATTCTATGCGATCTGTTTCCATGGGGTGTACAGAAGGTTATTTCAGTTTTGAAATTCATTCTTGAACTAGATCAATGTGACGTAACAGAAACAATTGGTCTCTAAGCAAGACAACCATAAAAACATACGCAGTTTTCCGGACATAGATGGGTCCTTGGGATACAATCATTCGGTATTTCCAGAAATGGATCATAAAACGAAATAACTATATATGATGAGTTGAACAAAACAGTGACCATGGAGTTTAAGAAGAGAACTGGCTCTCCAAATGGTGAAAAGTATGGTATGCAAAGCGTCAGTCGTACCTTTTCTGATTTTGCAAATACAAGTCGATCACTATTTCAACCGGAAGGGCTTAAACGGTGGAATAAAAAAAGAAAGCTTGCTCATTTTATGGTCCTTATTAGCCTTATACTCATTGTAATTGGATTCATAATGACGATTTGCAGCGCAAGCGATGTTGTGGGGGCAGGAACATTATTTCTGGAACAACGGAAGGATTATATAATCGTTGGTCCCATTTTACTTGGCATTGGAACTGTGACATTAATAACTGGAATATCAATGAATTACATATTCCGACGGAAAATGTATATGACAATGCAGCCTGAGTGCAAAAATGAAATTATATCTGAATTCGAAACAGATGAAACGACACATTGTGATGTGCATATTCTCAAAGATGCAAACGGGAATATTATTCAGAATGCTGTTGAGACAATCAGGTTAGAGTTCATACCCGAAAAGGCCAATGTGGAAAAAGAAGCACGACGGGATAACTGGCGAGGATCAACAGATAGTTCCGAAAAGTATAATACATAATGTATACAATTAAAGACCTCTCTAGAGGTCAACTGGCAAAACTGTAAACGTTGAAAGTATTGTAAAGGTCATCGGTCTCGGAGAGTACTTCCAAAGTTTACAGTATCTGAGTATCGGTATACAATTTTGTCAGGTGACTTCTAGAGGTTTACAATTCTTTATTGTTACTTTTACTAAATTGACAACATTGACAAACCTGAGATTATAGTTGAGACATTGTTGTCTGTAAGTTGATAGCAAAAGTCTTAAAAAAGATTTATGATGGCCATATCTTTGTCTATTCCTACCATAAATACATTTTCATAAAAATAATGTTCCTTGGAGTAAAGTAATGTATTATTTTTCCTTAGAATGGTTCAAGAACTGATCCTAATAACTTTACTTTGAAGAAGCAAGTATTGATTTATAATAGGTAAACTTAGTTTAATGATAAAAATAGCAAGCGAACGCTCCCAAAACCACTGTTCAGGACCCCATTACGGCTTATTTTTTAAAATGTATTTATGGTGAGTAAATATTCCTCGTCAAGAGATGCCTAGAATGACCTGCCATACCATACCTGGTCCTTTACGCATTTGTATTCCACACCTGTTTGTATGTGCATGTAAGGAATGAACAACATTCATTATCAGGTAAAAGGGATTTGAGAACATAGCCAACACATTCAATTGCCGCAGCAAGTTGTGAATCAAAATGTATCATCAGTTGAGGTTGATAATTGATGTATTGTCTATAACACTTATACAGGGCGTATAAAAAACGCAACAAGTTCTTATCTCGTAAAATCACAAAACTAGTGAAGACTACATCAATTTCATTCAATGTACCATAAAGCCACGTCTCTCTTCTTTGCAATGATATGTCATTCATTCACACGTTGTAATGGTTGGGTGAGAAATCCTTCCATTTGCACAGTGGGTCAAAATCGGCTCAGGACCAAGTTTTAGATATAGCAAGAATCAGTGCAAGCGTAAAGTGCCAAAGGAAGTTCCACTTAATTGAATTGTTGTGACTTTTTCTTTTGGAGGTATCTCAGGAGCATCCGTGCTCACAATTACTCCACCAGATATTGCAAAACCTCGAGAAAGAATTGCCCATGGGCTGCTTTTCTATGCTTTAACCCACAGATGACTCAGGCATGCATGACGTTAACAGATGAGCGTATCTTTATGTGCAAGGAAGTGGTGGCAATTTGGAGGGGTACAGGATGTATTCTCGCAAGAGTATGAATATGAACAGTTTTTACTGTCTATGCCACATCTGTCACACCTTCTTCCAATAGCTCCTATGCCCCTTGTACTGACTTTTGCAATGTTTAAAACTTGGTTCTGAGCTGAATTTCGCCCCACTTTGCAAAATTAATGATTATTCGGCCAGCCATGACTCCCGGAGAATGAATGATATTCCATTGCAAAGAGGAGTTATTTGGCTTTTTGGTACATTGAATGAAAAGGATGCAGTCAGCATTGGTTTTATGTTTTCTTCCAATATTGCATCGGGCTCCGTACACTGACTTCTGCGATGTTTATAACTTGGTCCCAAGTTCATTTTGGCCCACTTTGCAAATGGTATGATGACTCGCCCAACCATGACCCAATACCAATGAATGATCTATCATTATAAAGAGGAGACACGTGGCTTTATGGTACATTGAATGAAATCAATGCTGTTATCACTGGTTTTGTGCTTTTCCGAGATAACAATCTGTTGCGTTTTTTTATACGCACTGTATTGTACTCTTAGGACGACAGAAATCATTTGTATTTTTTCCATTGGCTTTCAAGTGAAATTTTCAGTGAAACGTGGTCTTGAATCATAGTGTTTTAATTAATAATTATATTGGGTGAGATTTGAAAAAGTATATTAAATACGCATATGTCATCACATTTTGCTTTACAATTTACGTCGTATGTTCCAGGGAAAATACAAATCCTGCTGTGTTAGAAGTAACGTCTACATCGGACCACAGTAACATTGAAGGCCTCTCATGTATAGAAGGGACTCGTGAAGATTTACATACATGTCAACCACACATAAAGCCAGATGGCCAGGAGCAACCGTCACAGTCATCCTTTCTGTCCATAGGCAGTAGAGACATTCAAGAAAGTCATGCTTCGTCCTTTTTGTCCGTAGGAAGTGGAGGAATTCACAAGGGACAGTCTTCTAAATCATTTTTGTCTTTGGATGATGGACACATTCACAAAGTACAAGATTCACAGTCCTTTTTGTCTTTGGACGGTGGGGATATTCACAGAGGAAAAGATTCTAGGTCTTACATATCTTTGGATGATGGGTGTATTCACAAAGGCGAGGATTCGCGGTCCTATTTCTCGTTGGACGGTGGGGATATGGACAGACATGCTTCTAAATCATCATATTGGTCTTTGGATACTGAAGAATCACATCAAGAGATACCATTGTCAAAATCAAATGCAAAAACATGTCTACTGCCTTATAAGAATTCTAATTTAAGATGGAGTCATAGGAATGGATTAGAGAATGAAGCAAAATACGATGTCATTGAAACTCAGAGTGAGAGCTGTATACCTACTTTTGACAAAAACCATATAGATGTTACCAAATCGAAGAGTGATGCCAATATTGAAACAGTCATACTTGAAAATAATATTATACAAGATTTTATTGATGACGTTACTAATAAGAATGGGAATTCAAACCAATGTCTGAAATATCCTGACGTATCAGCAGCTCTTCCACCTGCACACCAACTGGTTGGTTCAGGCGAACACAGAAACGAAGCATTGGCCAAGGACTGGAGTAACGTTTCCATGGATACTATTAACTTCCTCTCAACTGAGTGTGTTTTCTCAAATGAAATGGGAGACTGCCAAAAATGTAAACTTCACAAATAAATAGAATTCAAACCATTATATCCAACCTGATTTATAACAATAATAATGAGCTTATAGCCTATTAGCCTACCATTAACCTAGAATTTGGGGCAATTTTTGTGAATCAAAAAGTTATTAATGATTCTGAACAATTTGGAAAATGATTACTCCTGATATAATGAAATACTGCATTGTAATTGAATAAATATCTTCATAACATATTTAATTTTATTCACCATTTTAATTATTTTATAAAATTGGGTTGAAAGTGAAATTTTCTGTGTTTACAGTAGTTGGATAATTATAATTCCAATGAATATGGGTACTATGTACAACATGAATCAAAATTAATTATTTAATGCAATACAATAAAGTTCAATATCATTTTTTCACCATTTTCTAATCACAAATATCCCTGTACTGAGTCTCCAATTTTGGGAATTGTAACAACAGATTGTGAGTCTTTGCCCTTGCAGTCCATTGCTTCCTTTATATTGTATGGGCCAAACTTATTATGTTTTGAAGATCCAATAAATCAAAGCATCCCATCTTTGTAGATCATTCCCGAGGTGTACACTATAATGTACATGGTTCTCATCCACTTGCTAGAAACTGAAAATAGAGAAAATAATATTAACCAGGAAAGATATACATTAACATGAATATGTTTCACCAAAAAATATAACATTATTTGAGGAATAACATACATTATAACATACCTATGATGATGTATAGTGCAAAGTGTACACAAGACAGCGGGCCAATATAAGTTTTGAAAAGCCCGCGCCCGCTAACTTTCTAATTGGTCAAGGCGCTGACGTCATAACCAATCAATCGAAGATAAAACTGCGCGAGCAATTTTTCTAAACTCATTTCAATCATTTTCAAACGATTTGTTTGGCAATTCTTTAACGGTACTCTCTGACCAGTCTACATCATCATAGGTATGTTATAAATCATTTATGTCACTATAGTGGCACATATGCCCTCGGTTCTCAGAGATCAATGTCCCTCCCAAGGTCGGCCCATATATCACTGAAACCTCGGGCATATATGCCACGATAGTGACATAACCTCTAATTAAAGCCAAGCCTGCATTTGAAACAGAAAACTTGCTACATTGTAATTTTCTTCAAATATTTGGAATTGATCTATTTGCTACAATAGGTGAATTAGTTCCAGGAAAGAGAATGAGAAATATGGATCTGTAACAATTAAAATGAGTTTGGTTACCATTGAGATAAATTTGTTACCATAGAGATGAGTTTTGTTGCTATGGATGAATGCTTATCCTTGTTAGGTGTTTCTCCTCCATCGTTAATTGATTGTTCTTCATCATAGGTTGTTTTGTCTAATGTTGCTTGGAGTATCAGATGATTCCATGGTTGATTGAGTAAATGATTTGCTGAAATAATCCAATACATTATTGAATTATTGATACATATTTTGGATTCATAATCTAACATACTAAAACTGATAAAATGCCAGGGAGTCATAAAGTAGTATGAATGTATTGTTGGTCTGGTCATTGGTAACATTTTAGCTAAAAAAACACGACTGAACCCAGAATTTCTATGAACATTGATGGACGTATCTTATTTTTCAAGTTTTCAAAATGGAAAAACTCATTTGAATTTCAAAACAGTGAATGTAATCATCATAACATAATATTTTTGGACTAACAAAACAATATTGTTGACCCCTCTATTCAGTCAACTGAAAAATTGTATACCTCAGTGTAAGTCAACAGTACATTCAAGGTACAACTATTTTAACACTATGAAATAATGAATGATTCATATCTCTTGTTAACATGTACCAAGATAGGTACTACTTGTCCCTGTGTAGTTGAGAAGACTTCTATAACAGTACATTCAAGGTACAACTATTTTAACACTACGAAATAATGAATGATTCATGTCTCTTGTCTACATACCAAGATGAGCACTTCTTGTCTCAGTGTAGTTGAGAAGACTTCTATAACAGTCCACTGCCAGATGCTGAACTCTTCCACTACCCTAGGAAAATCGGAGGAAAATACAATATGGTAACACCAAAAAGCAACATCTAATATATCTTAACTACATTTAAGTTCTTCACTCAAAACTTCCATGTCAAACTATTCATCCATTCAAACGTCTGTTTTATTAAAAGGGTAGGTGTGTTAGTGATCTAGCAGTCAAAAAAGGATTTGTATAGAATTAACCCCATTATGTTTAAGACCATACCCATAATGTGGAACTGGTGAAAAGTGATGAATGCAGGGTACAGTAGTTTGAACCATTAATGCATACTCACATTTAACCACAGATATCCAAGACGTACCTGTAAGATGCAATGTTGTAAGTAGATGACCAATCTTCTCAAATCTAGACTCCCAATACCCAGGCACTCACTCTCTGATTCACTCAGTCTCCTGGCATCAGGGTGAGTGTAAAACTTCACCATATCTGTATAATATAAAACATTCACCGAGCCATAAATGTTGGAATATGAACTTTAAAGTATTGTCTTTTGAACAGTTATATTTTTGTGTTTGGATTCGGAGCAAAGAAATTGTATTTTGAATTAATCAAAATGAATGTAATACTGTTGAGAGAACAAAAACTATACCTGATGTAGTTGTGTTGAAATATGCCATCCAGAAAGCAAGTATGGTCAGCTGCTCTGAGATGTTACTTGACTTCACCAGAGTCACTGCCTGGTTGGTTTCTATGTTTACTAAAGGTTCCATCTGATATCAAATAAATTAAAATTAAAAGATTTTGTGTATCAAAATATTCTTATTTCAAAATGACCTATAGATGAACATGTGTACATTGTTTTTTTTGATTAGCACATGCCTGGTTTGTCTTTATTTACTTGTGTTGATCTAAATGTACTTGCCATCACCTGTTTACCTGTATATATTAACATGTGTTTACCTGTATTTGGGCATAGTGAGCAGATATGATGAGGCCAGTGATGAGCTCATACACACACCTACAGACAGCTAGCCTTCCACTTTGCAAGAGATTCCCAAGTGACACCATCAACTGGGTGTTAGACAGCAAAATAGAAGACACTGAAGATAAAAAGTACATTTCCTACTGAAGCACGTAGTACACATTGTTGGTGGTGTAAATTATAAATCAAGTGTTAATTATTTGTCTGGCATGTCAATAGCAAAGTCAATAAGTAATGATGTCAATATACATGTAGGCTAAAATATGCCAATTTTGCATGGACAACATCTACATGTACATTGTACGTATATACCCTTTGGTGGAGAAGTAAACATGTATCAACATTTTGCCACCTTATCCATGCAGTAATCAAAGTTAGAAGTACATTATTCGGTTACATATTGCATAGTTTACCTTGAGTTTCCTTAGAAGAATGCTCTTGAACCAGTGCATAGTTGATGGTTTCTATACAACACACAACCAAATCTAAGTCACCACAGTCATTGGCCCTTGTTTTAACTGTGCCTCCAGATTCACTATCCATAGCACCTCGAAGTGGCCTTGGATTTTCACTGACATCTTCATGAGCCTCACTTGCATTCATCCTTCTATCATTATTCTGTTTAAGTTCATCATCTTCCTGAAGTTTGGTTCCTAACACATTGATTTCCTTATGTAGTAGTTTAATCACATGGTAGATGAGTTTAAATGGTATGATGTGTGTAATTGGCTGATTAGCACTGTTTGGTGCAGATGTTGTGTGGGAAGATGCAATGGGTGCAGTGGATGTGCTGGATGGTGGTATCTGGTTGGCTATGGTATCCTCTGCCACAGGGCACATAGACTGCAGACTGCAGTACATCTGGAGTAACTTGATCAATCCTTCAAATTTAGATAAATATATATATACATATACATAAGTACACATGTACATATATGAATATAACAGCTTGATGCAAAATTGGACTAGATAGATTAAAATGTGCATGTTTTTTGAAACTACATGTTTAGAATGTGTATTAGACCACCAGCATATATACAGCATTAAAAAGATTTATTTTCTCAATTAGAAATAACATTGATTTGTGATATTTACATTCTAGAAATTGAGCAACATTTTTAAATATTACTTAAAAATGGGTTATTCTTCATTATTATTCTTCATTCAAACATGTACATGTAAATTGGCTATTTTATGAATTGCAATGAATGATATTGTTGAAGAACAATTCATATTTGTTAAAATGATTTGAGTACCTTGCCTAGAGAGGGTATCATGAAGGAAGATTTTCATGAGGATGTCAGGAACCCACTCTCTTATAGTGTCTGCCACAGATCTACAGCCTGTTGATACAGCCTAAAACACAACATACATGTTAGTTGATACAGCCTAGACAACATATGTCAGTTGATACAGACTAGAACACAGCATGTATGTCAGTTGATACAGCCTAGAACACAGCATATATGTTAGTTGATACAGCTAGACAACATATGTCAGTTGATACAGCCTAGAACACAACATATATGTTAGTTGATACAGCCTAGAACACAGCATATATGTTAGTTGATACAGACTAGAACACAACATATATGTTAGTTGATACAGCCTAGACAACACATGTCAGTTGATACAGACTAGAACACAATATATATGTTAGTTGATACAGCCTAGAACACAGCATATATGTTAGTTGATACAGTTGATACAGCCTAGCACACAACATATATGTTAGTTGATACAGCCTAGACAACACATGTCAGTTGATACAGCCTAGAACACAGCATATATGTTAGTTGATACAGCCTAGACAACACATGTCAGTTGATACAGCCTAGAACACAGCATATATGTTAGTTGATACAGCCTAGACAACACATGTCAGTTGATACAGCCTAGAACAAAAAACTTGTAGAACAAAAAACTTGTTTGTCGACACTGCCTAGAACACTACACATGTTTGGTGATAATGCCTAGAACACTTTATATGTAGGTTGATACTGCCTAGAACACAACACACTTTGTTCATACAGCCACATGTAAATAATACAGATCAATGATTTACTTACATGTGGAAGAAAGATTATGTACACAACGATAAATCAGTTGAAACAGAAATACATTTTCTATTCCATTGTAATAGATATGATGATCTGAGAAAAACATATTTTGATGAGGTAGATTTTAAAGATTTGGATGATGAAGGTAGCAAAATTGAATTTATTTCTTTTTATTGAACATACCTGTAAAATTGTTAAATTTATCAAGATGGCTTTTGTGCAGAGAAAGCAATTCATTTACAACCTGTGATATTGATTTTAGCGTATTTATTTTGTATTCCCTATTGTTAACAGTGGTTAATAAGCCCAAGGCAAGGATAAACCCTATATCCTAAACCTCCCAAAGCATAACTGTCATATATTTACCTGGTTAGATATTTCACTGAGGACTTCTACACCATCCATTCTTTTCCCATGGGACTCAGACACCAACTCCTAAATGAAGTAAAATCAAGCGAACAGGTGTTAACATACATGTATAGTCCTGAGAGTAGAATACAGTAAGTGAAACAGAGTTGTTATTTGTAACATCCCTAAATACATTAAGGAAGAAGTAAAGGAGATAAACGGTGAAATTTTGGAAGCAATATTTTCAATAAAAATGCTAACACCAGAAATATTTAATAAATAAAAAAGAGAACTATTATTTTTAGAAGTTAAGGCAGGGAATACTTGGAATTGTAACATATCTTACCAGAATCTGAAGAAGGCAAAGTGGGTTAACAAAGGCCAATCTCAGGAGATCCTCTCTATTGTTGCCACAAGAAGAACACATCCAAATATGAAGCTGAAAGGAAATTAAACCTTTTTTGTTTTACCGATTCGCATCTCCAACATTTGAGAAAACCATCCTTGAACCTACTCCCCAAATTTTAAATCAAAATTCGAATCAATAGCAGAAGTATTCCACAAGATGTCCTCGATGTCATAAATATGGATTGGAGTTAATTGAATATAAGCCTACCATACGTTTGCCTATAGTTTGGCTACTGACTGGAGACTGGAATGCCCAATGCAACAGAGATACATGCCAACTGCACCACTCTCCTAGCAGAGTTGGATCATCATCCAAACATCCAAGAACTATATCTCTTGCTGGAAGTAGAACATTTTACATTAGCCCCTAAAGTAAATGTAAAATGAATTCCACATTACGGCAAGATTCCGAGAAATCAGGCACTTGAGCTTTTTAAACTCCATCAAAGTTACATTGTGAATATATCAATGAAAATATGCTAAATGAAGACAGTCAAACATATCATTCATTATTCTACATTGTTTTCTGGCTTCTCAGTGACAATAAAGGAGTTGCTATTTAGATTTATAAATAGATGGCAGTAGGGGTTTTGGTTGGACCAGAATACTATAATTTATAATATGGAGTCAACAGCCAAAAGTCACTAAACTTCTTTATTTATCAAATACTTCCCATTGGATTAATGTAAAACTCTTTTAGTATGCAAGTTTATTGTATTGTTGATATGCCTTTTGTGATTTAACATCAAATTGTGGTCTTTAAAAGAGTAAATTAACTTTTGAAGATCTTTTTTAGCATTGTGTCAGTGGGGAATTTAAGCAAAACCTATTTCAGAAAAGCTAAAAAATTGTATACAGGAAAAATATTGTGCAAATAAAAGTTTGTTTTAGAGAAAATTACAAAATCAGACACTAATGTCATAAATAGAAGAAAATGGCGAAAAAATGCAAATCCAAAATCTCACTAAAAACTAGACAAAGCTAGTAAAGTATTTATTAACACAAGCTCAATGGATGCATCCAGGTTTATATACTCGTACATGTATGTTAATGTACACTCAACTAATGTACATGGACAGGGAAAAATATAAAATCTTTTCAATTTAACACTTAATTGGAAAATAATAGTCAACAATAGACTGCCAGCAAAAATTATATTTAGAGAGGCTTTAAGCCAAAGGATGTTAAGGATGTATACTACAGGGTGGGTCAAAAATCTTACTCATTTTGACTGTAATACAATATAATTAGGGTTACACTTTTTGGCCAACCCTGTATATTGATTTCATTTTAGTTTTAGTTGAAAAATGTCTGAAAAGTAATTTCTGTAAAATTTTGCAAGGGAGTTGTCTCTCCTGCATCATGCCTGGCTACATCCACGGTCTACTGTACATTGCCCATTTTGACAAAATGTTGTTACTATCAGATTATTGCGCAGTCTTTTTGTTCCTTCCTTTGCAAATAGAAACACAAATACAACAAAAAACAAGAATGAAGACTGCAAATCCTGCCATTGCAATATAGTCTTTCAGATTGCGAACTGGCACTTCAGTAACAATAATCTTGATTGTTGCGATATGCTTCCCACTGATCCAGCAGCTATATGCCTTCTCGTCCCAGGGCTGGAGTCTCCTTATATGGAGCCGATTCTGAGTATCAATTCTTACTCTCCCTCTGGAAATTTTCCGGATTATTCTTGGGTTTAAAGTTAATGTTCCATTTTGCCAATGTACAAGTTCCTCTGTTGATTTTTCATGTGGACATTCCAGGTAAACCCGTTTTCCCCGTTCAAGGTACATTGACTGCCGTTTTACCAGTGGTGGAAATGTTGGCTTTCCATCTTTGTGATCCCTTAGTGAGTAAAATCCTTCTGCTTCATTGACTGTCTCAATAACTGCACCAGTATCATCAGTGATATTTCTTGGTGGAGGTATAGTGGGGCAAGGGATCTTACAGTATCCCATCATGGTCTCACTACGCCTAGCCAAAACTACTGGTAGATTTGAAAGGTACATAGGAATCAATGTTGACCTGCACGGTACACCTTCAGGGTATTCAGCCAATACTGGTGCATCAATTGGCAACACCTCTAGCGATGAATTTATCTTCTTCACAGTACATATTCCAATTCTCCTCCTTTGACCTAATTTATCACAATGGTTACACCGTGTCCATGACGACCATGATGTAAACAACCAAAGGTTGTGTTCATCTAAACGTTGAGAATTTTTAGGTTGGCGACCTTGGTCACCAGATTCTACAACTTGGACACGTCTTTCTTTTAACACCACATCTAGTCTGTAAACAGCTTCATACTCATTGTTACGAAGACAGAAATAATCACCAGCATCTTCAATCTGAACTCCTTTAATCACCAATGTTTTCTCATCTGTAAGGAATCGTGTCTTCTCCTTGAGGATGACAGGCTTTTCCACTATATCTTCACCTCTCTTAACCTTCCACTCCCAGGTATATGAGTTGATATCATGGGCAGGACTGATACAAATATTGCAGTCCAGTTTCAATGTGTGTCCCTCTTGAATGAGTTTAGCCTCAGATTTATCCTTCATATTCAAGTACCAAGCATTTTTCCTCTCTAGGCATTTATAGTAGGCTTCAAATAGATCTTTTGGGTGAGGAATCTCATCTGGTTTAGGTGGTGGTTGATAATCACTGCAGTGTATGTATTTGAATAGTACCAGAATATAAACTAGGAAGTTATTATGGTGCTCCATTGCAGCTTTTGAATTCCAACCAGTTTGTTGTCATCTGCGCTGTTGCTATCACAGTTGTTTTGTTTGTCATCATTACAGGTCATCAATGCTTCATTGTGATGTCACAATGGAATCAACAATATACAAATGTGCTGTTATGAAACAAACATTGGAAATTAAAATCAAATTGTGATGTCATAGTCAAATGCTCAGAATAACACTTAATTGTGACATCATATATATATGGAAATGATAACATGTATATTTCTATAGCAATCATGGCTGCATGGAGGGGTTTGATCAGGCAAGTCAGTGCAAAGAGGTTCAACCTTGCAATAGCTCCATGTATGTCCATGACAAAAGAGCTATTTCACATTTCGTGAGCATTGTTTCCAACTCTTCTGATCTTCTGCCACAACATTTGAATACTAGTATTCATTTGAGATTGAATATTTATCTTGTACATGTTCACTTTTACACATGTTATACTATTTCAAAAATGCATACCTTTGGAGTGATACTGAGACGTTTCCTCAGCTTCACATGAGCAGCAACAAGTCTGAAATCAAATAAACAATATTGCAACCAGAACAACGGCAATGCCAAAGCGTAGCGAATCCCATCGAACAGCCATGGAAGGCATTTTTACAAACAAAGTATATAGCAAAAATGGCAGGCATTTTTCAAAATGGCTGCCTTCTACCAAAAGTGTCATTAGACCATTTGCCATACTTATAGTATTCACATACCAAATATGAACAAAATCGCTTCACTACTTTTCGAGTTATAGTAAAATACGTTAAAATGGTGGCCATTTTGAAAAATGGCCGCCTTCTACCAAAAGTGTCATTAGACAGTGTGCCATCCTTATAGTATTCACATACCAAATATGAACAAAATCGCTTCACTACTTTTCGAGTTATAGTAAAATAGGTTAAAATGGCGGCCATTTTTCAAAATGGCGGCCATTTTTTAAAATGGCCACTTTCTACCAAAAGTGTCTTTAGACAGTGTGCAATGTTTATAGTATTCACATTCCAAATATGAACAAAATCGCTCCACTACTTTTCGAGTTACAGCAAAAATCGTAAAATAACAAGTAAAGGCCGCCATTTTTCAAGATGGCTGCCATGTGCTTTTTTAATATCTACATTTCTAGCTTTATTAGTGTTCTATATAATTTTTTTACATCTAAAACATATTGCTATTACAGTTTTACATATTGCACCTAAATTACTGTAAATTCGGCACTAAAATGGCCGCCATTTTGAAATGAGCGGCCATTTTGAAAATCGGCTTTTAAGCAGAACTTCTACCCCCATAGGGTATATGTGTACAAAATATGAACAAAATCAGGCCAACGGTATTTGAGTTATTGCCCGGACGGACGTACGTACGTACGTACGGACGGACAGACGGACGGACGGACGGAGGCGTTCCCTATATCCCTCCGAACTTCGTTCGATGGGATAATGACATATCTGGAGGGGGGGGGGGGCACTGACTGAACTCTACTATCCCCCTTGTGAACTCATCATGATTTTCAAGAGGGAGAAACATGAGCTTTTCTAAAGAGGTGAAAACGTGATTTTCAAGAGGTGAAAACGAGTGCTTTCCAAGAGGTGAAAACATGTGCTTTTCAAGGGGTGAAAACATGTGCTTTTCAAGGGGTGAAAACATGTGTTTTTCAAAAGAGGTGAAAACATGTGCTTTTCAAGAGGTGAAAACAGGTGCTTTTCAAAAGAGCTGAAAACATGTGCTTTTCAAAAGAGGTGAAAGTATTGTGCTTTCCAAAAGAGGTGAAAACATGTGCTTTTTAAAAGAGGTGAAAACATGTACTTTTTAAGAGGTAAAATGTGTGTTTTCCAAAAGAGGTGAAAACATGTGCTTTTCAAGAATGGAAAAAATGTAATAAGTGCTTTTCTAAAGAGGTGAAAACATGTACTTTTCAAGAGGTGAAAACATGTGCTTTCAAAGAGGTGAAAATAAGTGCTTTTCCAAAGAGGTAAAAACATGGGCTTTTCAAGAGGTGAAAACATGTGCTTTCAAAGAGGTGAAAATAAGTGCTTTTCCAAAGAGGTGAAAACATGCTTACAGAATACAAAACCAAGAGATACTGCAGAACAATAGCAGGTAGGTGGAAGAGTTGTGGGTGGAGACAGATAAATGTGTCTAAGGCTGCAAGTAGGTGGTCCATCAGCTCCAAGCTACAACAAAGAGAGACCACATAACATGAATTTGACTCACACGGTCCATCCATCTATTCAAAAAGTACTCTTATTCTTTTTCTACATGAATTAATCAAAAGATGGTGCAATAATCATTATCAACGTTGTATGATCATCAAAGACACTAGCACAATACTATATTTGTCATCAATCACTGTTCAAATTGACCAGTTTTTTTATCATTGTTCAGTGCCTACTTAAGCACTACTTTTGTAGTATAAACTATAGATTATGTACCTGTCTCCATAATACACAGCTACATATAATAATGTGATGAGGCTGTATTGAGCTGACGAGAATACCTGGTCCCCATTGGCTTCATTGTGATCTACCTGCTGACACAGCAAACACAATGTCTCCCTGAAAGACCCTGAAACAATGTGAAAAGGAATGAAATAACACTAGCTCTTTTGGTTCACTCATGGCCAGATAAGAATTTTCATTTTTATTTATTTGAAGCCCTTGATCTCTTTTTGTGATTCCAATTGAATATGTATATGATTTATTACCTTGTATAAAAAAGCGACCTTTCATATCTATCTTCATTACCTCTAGGCAGGTATTGCAGAGGTAGTGAATACCAAGTGTTTAAAATAGTTAAATTATATACTAGAAGTAGTGCTTTATTATGCATTTTGTTTTATGTACCATAACCCAAGGATGAAGTAACTGTATGAATAAAATATATCAGTATCACTTTTAGGCATTTAATCTGTGGAAGACTCATAATACATATTTATATAAGCCTCAAGACTCAGAATCATCTATTTTACAATATTCTTATTATTGCTTCTCATTCTGTAGAATTGAAATATCATTTTGCATAAGGGTCACTTTTGGCAGCATCACTTGTAAAAAGAGAAGGTTTAAAGTACAAATGTTCAAAATAGACTGTTAAGTGCAAATGTGTTTTTTAACTTTGAATAAAAAAAGCAAGCTAATTATATTAGACATTAATCACAATATGACAAAAGTACTTTTGTTGTCGAGACCTTTTGCTCTAAGGAATAAGTTTATTTGTCCCCTTTAACTTTTTAATTGCATTAATTCACATATTGAGCTCATAAATCATTTTTGTTGTTTTTTTCTGAAAAGGTATCTGTTTGCATTTCATGAGACATGCACTTAATGGATGATATCAAAAGAGAGTAATTTTAGATACTAGACCATGTACAATTTAACTTGTAGCCTACATGCAGACATTGGCTTTTAATTCCAAAACTAATTGTAAAAATGCTCTAAGAGCTTCAGTTTTTTATTTATTATTATTTATTTATTTCAATTGAATACATATACAATATACAATAATGCATAATCGCCATAATGGCATTATATAAGATAAAGAGGCAGGTGGAAGTAGAGGTGGCAGTCTTGTGACTAGGGCAAGAGCTTCAATTAATATTTTCATAATTTCAAAATATACAAATATTTGAACAATGAGGTAAAACTCATGTTAATCAAGGATCTAAAAGGCTGTTGTGTATATTTCATATATGAGCTACCCATGCAGATATTGTCACAACACTAAAACATATAGAAAACATTATTGTGTCAAAAATAAATTGTAAGAATGCATTTAAAATGCTCTGATCTAGCTTTAATAAAAAATACATATACCAAAAACGGAATGAGAAATTATCAAATTGCATTTAGCTTAGTACTGTAGTATTATTTTATCCGTGAATGTAGAAACTTCTCACACCTTTGACAATGGGCAAGCCATTTTGTAGAAGATCTGTAAGTTCAGAAGCCATTGGTGTCTCTTTTGTCAGGGAGCTGTTATTTTGTGTATACCCATCATCAAGGAGAGTAAGACAGACCTTCAAGAGGAAGGTATCCACACTTTGGTGTAACTCATCACAACTGAAATTTAAATAGCAAAGAGTTTAAATTTCAGTCACACTTGATACTGAAACTTGGGTACATTTGAGTTCAACTTTATTTTGGGGATTTAAAATTCAATATTATACCTTACAACAGTTTTTTTCCTGGAAAACAATTTCAGTAAATCATGAATATTTTATATTGCCTAAGACAGTAAGAAAGTATTCAATGCCTCAAAGGCTCGAAAACAAACTGGGATTGTGTCCCTGATGATTGGGATTGGTATGGTTGAAATAAACAAAGCTCAAAATTCTAGAACTCATGAGCACTGTAAATATCAAACACGGTCTGTCTGAAAAATTAAGACTGAACTTAGACCACTTGTTCAGAATTGAAATCAACTCATTTCCCCTATATTGATAATAGTCCACAACATATTCACATTTCACACAAGGGGCAGAGAACAAAACTAGGACCCACTTTAGGTAAATCAAAATGAGAATAAAATATGGTATTCTTCATCCATATTCTCACTTATTAAAAATCAGTATACTTTATCACAGTGTTCCAAAACCTCTAAACATCAAACCGTACATTAGTGACCCCCTACAGTATTATTTAGGATATGTTTAGGAATATCTAACTTTCGAATTAATGTTTGTAGCACTTGCACCCTTGGTATACGCAGCTAACGAAAATTGACCGGTACGGGTCAAAAGCTGGACTGGTACGGGTTAACGGTTTTATTTGAATTTAAAACAGCCATAACTTGCTCAATATTGACTTCCTCGTATCTAATTTGAAATATATGATGCCTCCCGATGCTTTTGAGTACCCCAATTTTTTACAGATTTTTAAACGGACCAAAACTCTCTAAATGCGCATTTATGCTCTTTTCTCTCGAGAACGACTGTCTCATTTTCACGATAACTTTTATTTAGTACTTCTAACATATAAGATCTATTTTTCCCCATCAAGGTATGATGTAAATGACATGCTATTTACATCTTGTGAGTTTCAATGACGCGCGTTTGATTTTATAAAAAATGCCAAACTTTGTTTGTGACAAAGAATTTCCTCCTGCTTGCAGCGAGAAGACGCCCCGGTTTGGGGCAATAGAACCGGTCCGTCTTCTCGCTGCAAGCAGGATGAAATTCTTTGTCACAAAGTTTGGCATTTTTTATAAAATCAAATGTGCGTCATTGAAACTCACAAGAAAAATTGGGGTACTTAAAAGCATCGGGAGGCATCATATATTTCAAATTAGACACGAGGAAGTCAATATTGAGCAAGTTATGGCTGTTTTAAATTCAAATAAAACCGTTAACCCGTACCGGTCCAGCTTTTGACCCGTACCGGTCAATTTTCGTTAGCTGCATATACCAAGGGTGACTTGGTTATTGTGAGTAAATAATAAAGAAATCATATAACAAAACAAACCTCTGATAATTGTATTGAACTTTATTAGTCACAATTTGTTGTTTCACTATGACATGACTGCACAAATGGATTTCAGATATACATATATAAAAGAATTCAAAAGCTAGCATACTGAACATGTATAAAGAAGATATCAAAAGAGGTAAAGCAGTAGTCTTCCACCTTCAGTGTCCTATATCCTTTTATGTTTGAGGAATGATAACCAGCTGACAATAGGGACTTATATTGTCTTATAATTATATAATGTCACATTATAGCTGACATGCAAGTAGACATTATCTATCACTAAATATTCAAATTTAAGTCAGTAATAATCATACTCCGTTATGTATCTGTACTATATATAATTCTGTCAATTTGTGATTTTCATTCTTGCACCTCGCAAGAGCATTGAATGACCATTTCGCAAAATCTTATTTTGCTCCATTTATATTTTTTATGAAGTTGAATCTAACACAGACAGTCCAAGTGGATCAATGCTTGTATCTCATGATTGATGCCAGATGTGATGTCATGTATGATGCCCCAATTACTTGTAAATAGGAGCTTATCAAGTTGCTGAGGAGAATCCCACACTCGCAACACCAGAGTCTACAATTAATGGAAATGGAACATTTAGATGGTATCACAGATGTGAAAATTAGTTTTTTTCTAATCAATACAATCATAATGAAGTATAAGTGTTATCATTTTTATCTGAATTTAGAAAATTATTTTTAAAGAATAGTTTTGTTCAAAGTTATGTTGATGATATCAACATATTGTGGGTACCTTTGTCTCTCCCACATAGTGAAAGACTTCAACATTTGAAGGATCAGCTTGAGTAACTTTGGTCTTCATTATGTTGTATCGACCCCTAGTTCTCCAAGAGTCCAAGATGTCATCATAACTAGCACCTGGAGTCAGAAATATTAATTCAAATAATGAGTCATGAATCATTTTCTAGATATTTATGCAGGTACACAAAGTTGCAAGAATTTAACTGCAGGTTTATGCATGTCGTTAACCATTATAGGAGAATATTATTTGAATATGCTCGAGTGGACACAACTATTTTTCCTTTAGAAAGAAAATTCATTTTTACCAACTGGATAATTGATAGTTCGAAGTATTCCAAACAAGGGTTCACATTTTAGGTCATCTCTTGGGTAAAAGAAATCTTCAGGAATTTCCAAACCAAGGGTGTGATTCATGAAATCATTGTAATCCATTATGGGCTGAACAGTACATACTAGCTCATCATCCATTCTCCCTCTAGCTATTTCAAGACTGATAACACTGTCACATCCGATGATCACATACAACCGATTCTCAGCAGCAACCTAAAGGTAACATACAGAAAAAGACACAAGTTATCATAAAACTAGCACCTTGTTTTACAAAATGAGAAAACTGGTGTTGGTCTAGTTGTGTTTTAATAATGTTATATGTTACATACCTTCAGAGGGTAGAAGACCTCACAATTATCTGCACTGTCTAAATCCTTGACAAAGTCCTTCAAGTGTTTGACCTTGGTCTTTGGGGGGTAGGTACAGTCCAAAAGAGCATTGAAGAACTTGAAGCGACCTAGCCCTGCTTTGTTTGTGATATTTGGTGGGACATACGCACATTGTTCCTTTGGACCATTTGACGGAGCAACTTGAATATATAAATGACAATAAACATAGAGATTTGTTACCCTGATTAAATTTTCAAAACTAACTGTATTAACTGTCACTACATAAGTTATGGTAGATTGGTGTTATAACATACAAGTATTTGGCTTTTAATTGATACTTTTATAGTCATTGACTTACTTTTGTTATCTCCAGAGTCCTTGAGTGCAGTAAGAACAAGGAATATGGCCACAATGAGGATAATCAGTGCAAGGAAGACAAGTGCTAAGAGTATCAAGACACAAATCACAAACCTGAAAATATAGGAGACATTCAATATAAAAAATACAGATATAATAAAGTTCTGAATAACAGAGATGACTATGCAAGATGATTTTTCTTGATCAACATTATAAATTTAGATGTATCAATCCAAATGTATACTCAAGGCCCAAACACGGGCCCCCACAGTCACTGGGGGGTATCGTGATGCAACAACACCGTGTTGTTGCATCAAGATGGCCAGACTTCCGGTGATAGATTTTCGTACGATATGTTGTTTCCCCAATTTAAACCCATTTCTAGGACGAGTTTCTCAATAACCATACACGTGAAGTTAGCGCACGATCTATATTTAAAGAAACTGTCATTAGTATACATGTATCATCATCAAGAAGCAAGAAGTTCACGGTTTTAGTTCCTCACTATTGATGCAACAACACCAAACCGAAGATGCAACAACACTCCTCTAGATTTGAGCAATGATGCAACAACACCAATTAATAGTATAATTTCAGAAGACCATAAATCTCGAGAGGAACAGATTTTTAAATGCTACTATTGCAACACTGGGCCAGTACCCATTTGCGTTCTTCTCAGGCATTCAAAATACACGTCCTGCGGGCGAAGATTCTTTATATGTATTTTCAAAAATTTATACTTTTAAATATCATAATGTACTGGAAGTTGTTTTATAACATAGTTCAATCACCTTTAACATTGCAAGCTATAGTAACCCAATCTATTATCATAAACCCCTGTTCCATAGTTTGATGACCCTGATACCAGTTAGTATCATTCAAAATGGTGGGGAAACATCTTTCGTTCTCGGTAAACACGACGAGCTATTGGAAATCTTGCACGGCGCACATGTAGAAGTATTGTTCTCTGGATTTGTTCTCCCCGATTGAGTAAAAAGGTAGGTAATAGGATTTAGGTCCCGAAAAGGTAAATTAATAGGGGTACAGTAATCCCAGATTCCCCCTGGGCCCTCGGGAAATATCATAATGTGTCCCGGAATAAAACCAATATTGAATCCCTCTCAGTAAATAACCTCTATATAATAGCATTGTATAACTGCAATATCATTAAACCTACACTCATCGGAAGTTATGGCGTTTTGAAAACTCAAAATCGCTCTAAAAGGAGCACGTAGGTTATCATAATCAATTTCAAACGATTCTAACTTGAATTATGAATATTTTCTGATCATGAACATGGGTGTATCTTTTAGATCCATTCATTATCTTCAAGAAAAGTATATATAATGATAATTTAGTTAATCAGACCTAAGTGATATTGAAGGGGCAATGGAGCAATCAACATACTTTTTCAAAAATGTTGACCTAATTTTCACCAAAAATGCAACCTATTATTATATTGTTGAATGCATAATTAGAATGTGCTTTGAGACATGTTCGATTTCCTAAAGGGAAAATTTGATTGCTCCAGGGACTTTAAAGATATTCAATTTGGATGACCAAAATGAATTGAAACCAATGGATAGCATGAGATTTTTCAATGGAGAAATAACATGGGGAACACTTATCTTAATGCAATTCAGTTTTTCTTTCAAGAACTATTTGATACATCAAAATAAAGAATAGTAATGCATTAAACATTGTAAAAAATGATTGCATTTTTGGCGAAAATGGGGTCAACATCTTCAAAATTGGGGTTAAAAGTGTGTTGATGGGTTAATTGCTAGTTAAATATCTCTCAGTTTGTTTGAATTTATTATTACTGTGCATAATTTTCTTTGAGATAATGAATTGATCTAAAAGATAAACTTGTCTTCATTGTTAGAAAATAGTCATAATCCAAGATATAACCTTCTGAAATTGTTTGCGATAACCCACGTGCTCCTTTGGTGCCCCATGTTAAGTCAAAGGGAAAAAATATTTTTTTGAAGTGTAAAATACGACATATATACGACCGAGTACAGCTTAATTTAATGAAAGCCTTTAAATGAAGGGTACCTCAAAAGCAATCTAGCTTCAAAATTTGGACACAAAAATGTCTAGGTCAAAATCTAGGTCAAATTCAAAAGTTTTCCTTATTTTTGTGATTCTGACACTACACTTCAATTATATTCTTCGAAATTGTGTATACATGTAGCCAAGAGTGTTCTAATAGTGTTAGCCCTTTGCCGTCAGAAAGTATTTTTACCCACTTTTGAGATATGGTGTCCAAAAAGTAGGTCAAAATATAAAATTCACCAAATTTAACGTTTGAGTTATGAATGAAGAATAGAATTTTCTCAGGAATCAGAATCTGCAAACCAAATTTCGATCCGACTTCCGGTTATGGCGTTTTGAAATTTCGAGAAAAATCGATCTGATGGTATCCTGATAGAAAGTCAAGGGTAGCCAAGAAAATGTCGAAAAATCCATCCATCCTTCCATCCATCCTTCCTATCCTATCCTATCCTACTATTCTATCCTATCGTTCCTTCTTATTCTATCCTATCCTTCCTATCCTATCCCTTTTATCCCTATCCGTTCCTTCCTATCTATCCTTCATATCCTTTCCTTCCTATCTATCTATCCTTCCTATCCTTTCCTTCCATTCCTTCATATCCTTTCCTTCCTATCCTTCCTATCTTATCCTTCCTTGCTATTCTATCCTATCTTTCTTCTCTATTCTCTCCTATCGTTCCATCCTATTCTGTCCTATCCCTCCTTTCTATTTCATCCATCCATCCATCTTTTTCTGGATGACTCGGCTTAAAAAATCCAAATCTGGAGTCTGAAATTGAACTTGTTCAATTTCCAAAGTCTAGTTATATTAGTTCTTTGTAAACAATTTCCATACGATACGGTAAATCAAGGGGATTTAATTTAGAAAATGAATAATCTTTATTTTTCAGATACAATATCAATGAGGTTGGCTCCCGGGGATTCAATACTTAGCCTATGTATTTTGTTTACCTTGTATATCCTTTTAACTTTGATAACATAAAGACAAATACATTAAGGAACCAAACAAAATACGTTTCATTCATGAACCACGCACTCACGCGTTTTATTCATGTCCCGACCAACACCTACGAGATAAACAGAACGTGAAACAGTTTCGCTTGATATTCAATGATACATTATATTGGCGTTTTTGCATCAGCACATTGGTGTTGTTGCATCATCGATGATAAACAGAGTGGTGTTGTTGCATCAATAGTGAGGAATTAAAACGGCGAATTTCTCGCTTCTTGATGATGCTACATGCATACTAATGAGAGTTTTTTTAAATATAGATCATTGGCTAACTGCACGTGTATGATTATTGAGCAACTCGTCCTAGAAATGGGTTTAAATTGGGAAAACAAAATATCGTACGAAAATCTATCACCGGAAGTCTGGCCATCTTGATGCAACAACACGGTGTTGTTGCATCACGATACCCCCCAGTGACAGTGGATAATTACAATTCTTGATTCAGTGTAAAGCTACTTCTCCAATCAAATACACAAATTATTTTTCTATAGTTCCACTTATTCTGTTTGTGCTATTTATTCTGTTCAATAATAAAGAAATGAGTTTTTAAAATTTTTACATAGATAAATGACTGAATCCATTGACTTCATAACCATAGTAATAAAATACTACATTATTATATTATTTTATATGTTTCTGTGTAGATTCATCTTTCTGGCACAAGTATTACATTAAATGACTCAAGTTCATTTACTTCAGAGATTTATAAATATTCATTTTCGACATTTCACCAGTTACCAGCTTTATCAAGAATACCTTCAATATGGATGTACAGTTATATTTTTTATGATGTTATAAATGATTAATACAAAACCCAGGTAACAATGAATTATACATAGAAACATATTTATTTATGACATATCAAGGGTATTCTTGGTAAAGCTATTGGGATAACCAGTGAAACTTCCTAATAAATCTTTTTAATTCTCTGAAGTAAATGAACTTGTGCTATTCAATGTATTATTTATGTGATAAATAGTAAAATAAAATACCATTTTTTAATTTGCTGTTGATTTGTTCCTTCAGTTATTGAGTCTTTGCTTTCTGTAATAATCTTTCTATCTTGTAAACTATAAGAATCCATTCTGCTCAAAATTACTTTAAAAAAATTAAGTGTTGATTCAAGTCTCTTGATATGCCCCAAAAATTGGCAGGATAAATACAAGCCTTTTTAACTAATCTATGTATAAACTACAGGGTGGTCCAAAAAAAATTGGAACATTTGTTAATTGAACACAAAACCTTTATTTTTCGTCTGAAATGCACCAAAATTTTACTGAGCATAGTTCAGTCACTTATCTGTCTGGTGTTAAGTTTATAGGTGCAAACCACAAAGTTAATGCATCAAACTAGTCAATGTTTGATATGACCCCCTTTCCTCAAATATACACTTATCAATTTTACCGCTACTTTTTCAAGTTTTCTTTATTTCAACGCTTTAATGAACATGTTGATTGCTATACACATTTTATAAAATCATATTTAGTTGACAAGAGAGAGGTATTAACATCTATGGTTCACTAGAAAACTATTGTGTTATTGTTAACTTAAGAATATCCCAAATCATTATTTTTATTTAAGAGTAGGAAAGAAAGAACATGTAAGAGGTGAGTGATTGCATCACCCATACAGCTACTAAAGTGACAAAATCATTGTTTTCACTTTTCAGTAAAGGGGAAACTGACCAGTTATTTCCAAGGCTTTATTCAAGATCACCTCTAAGCATATATAATATATCATTTGTGTTCTGGGAAACTCCTTTATGATATTGATATACATATATTGATATATTCAATGAATATTATCCATATTAGAACAAGAAAGGGGGAGGGGGCTCATTTACCAGTCAAAACAGACTGCCCTGGCCTCTTTCTTGAGGATATTCAATAAGTTAGACACCTAACAATAGCCATCAAAATATGCTTGATACCCATCAATTTGGGTAAAAAAGTTGAATGTGTTCACATATTTGATCTTCCAAGGCAAACATATAAGTAGTTTGTTCAACTGAATTTTTTAATCAAAATGGCTTGGACAAAATC